GGGCAGATTCTCTCCAAGACGCCAGGCCCGCAGCACACGGACACATACTCAAGAGGTCAGGATAGCCGAGTCTCAGCCGTGCACTGGACCCCCAGCATCCAGAACGCCATAACCGCCGAGCACCGCCGCATCATCGGACACCTGAACTCGCATCAAGGACGCAAGATCGTCAGTAGCTACCTCATTGAGCCCCGGGGCACAGAAGAAGCGAAACCTCAGCCGGCCAACGAACTTATTTTGTTATTCCTGTTGTGTAAGTTAACTTCATGTCAAAATAAACGGTTTTCGTGTAAGACACTTGTCATCTTTGTCTCCTACCGCCACCATCCACATACGGTTTGGCCCTAGGTTTTCCTGACGCGCAATTAACGTATTGCCCCCAAAATCGGCGAACTTACATTACTTTTCATTAACGTTTCATGTATGATTGGTCTTTGGAATATTGAAGAACATTGCACCTGTCTGTGGTAGATGATCGCGGGTTGGAAACTGACCAATGGACGTAGAGTTCATCGGGCTTTATTCACGTACTGTACATAACATCTAGATACAATCACTTTCCAGGTTAAGACCTTTCGGAATGAATTCGCCCTGATTTGCCAAGTTTTGTTTTGCCTTTTCACATCAATCTAATTTTTTAACCTTTTTTTCATTTATCAAAATCTACATCCAGAAGAATATTCCAATTATTCTAATTGGAATATTCTTCTGGATGTAGATTTTGATAAATGGAAAAGAAATAAATTTTTTATAAGCTAGTTATTACTAAGGCAACTAGCATTATTTATGTTTTTAAACACGATGCTGTATTGTGTTTTATAAAAATAGTTAATAAATTCGACAAAATTTATTACTCTCACNATGGAAAAGAAATGAATTTTTTATAAGCTAGTTATTACTAAGGCAACTAGCATTATTTATGTTTTTAAACACGATGCTGTATTGTGTTTTATAAAAATAGTTAATAAATTCGACAAAATTTATTACTCTCACCGCAATTTTATAACGTAATAAAATTGATAAAATAACTTACTTAATAATGAAGCATAAAAAAAGTAAATTCCAAATGGAAGCAGCAAAATGAACAATGCGGCCTTTGGATATGGAAGCTTTTTCTGAAAAAAATATATAATTGATTAAATAATTCAGAATATTTCTACGGATCAAATGGCAATTTTTAAAAATATATAATTGATTAAATAATTCAGAATATTTCTACGGATCAAATGGCAATTTTTAAGTTATTTTCGTTAAATAAATAAAACAATTACATAGAATGAAATAACCGGTAAAAACTTCTATTTTGTTTTATACTTACTCGAACTGAAGAAATTCTTTGAGAAGAAAGTAACGGAGTAGCTACAAAAAAGTTCAGGTTAAATAAAAATATAAATAGATTGAAAATACCAAAATATTGATGTACTTTTATCCACATTTTCATCGCTGAACGATGTCATCATTCGAAATAAAAAGTGTTTTCGTGCTTTATATCATTTATCGAGTGTGAAAATTTTATTCAAATGATAGCTGAAATGAATAAAAACGCTATTTTAAATTCAGTTATTTATCTTATCACAAAAAATAATATAATTGCCGTTATCTTCTGTTCTGATGACATATTTTTTTACGAATGTACTTTGATTACTTAATTATAAAAAAGCATACTTTTTTTTTATTTTCTTTCTGAAACCGTGTCCTGTTTTATATTTGTGGCGTAATAAACACTAGTATTGTGTTTTATTCTAAAGACACATGGCAAATTTTCCATCAAGTTCCTTTATTCGTTGATNCCATAATAGATATATCTGTAAAAATGTTTAATCAAATTTGTATGATCATTTTTCAAATTAATAAATTAAAAGTATAGAATTCTTGTATAAATTATTTAACAATCAATAATACTGTAAATATTTAAATTCCTTTGAATATGTTTTAAATAAGAATTTCCACACATTTCATCATGGAAATTGTTTATCGATATAAGTGCCAGGAAAAAGTAAGGTTACATTTGTACTGTAATGTTTTCATAGTAAACTACTTTTTAATCCTTTTTATTTTTTGTTTAAATAATATTACCATACTAATGAATAACTATTTCTAGATGCCTTGTATGTGCTGTATACCTGGTTGCATAGAAAAATATATATCCAGTGTCTATATTTAAGTTTTNTTTCATTGGAGGAACAACTAAACTTCATGCATGGTCTGAATTCCACCTCTTTTCAATCTCGTGCTTCATAGGAAGTCATGCCATTTTGGGACAAAGAATGAAACAAGTCTCTATCTAAATATTCGAATATGAAACTTTTGCAATTTGCAGTAATTACATTATATGATGACGATGAATATAGATACATAATTTTCGCTTTACACTTTTCCGTCTGTATTAAAAGTATTTTACCAGTCAACGAGCCCAATCTCTATCGCCATGTTTGATCCAATTACCTTCACTAATAACAATGTATTCTATAAAATTGTTTGATTATGGAGAGCGCTGTCAAGTCATCTAGGCCAGCGGTCGTCAACCTTTATGACCTCACGGACCACTAAACTCACAATTTTGATTCCCGCGGACCACTATCATTAACTTTTTTTAAACGATACAAAATCTGGATAATAATGATCATAAAAGTTCAATTTTACTATATTAATATGAAACTCGCTTGTTTAATTATAACAAATTAATGCAAGCCTACAGTTCATTGCTGCTTGTTTGAAATAAATTTATGAATTCTTAGCGCTTTCCACAAAGGAAGACAACCGCACTCACAATATTGTCTATTATTCATTATTTATTGATAACAGTCATTTCGTATTTGGATTTAGATTCGAATAAAAATGAGTGAAAAAAGCAATTAAGCATTTTGCATTTCTTTCGTAATACTTCGCGTAACTTTCAGTTGATCAATGTCCAAATTTTTCCACGGAACATCCAAATTTTCTCGCGGACCTTCAATGGTCCACGGACCAGAGGTTGCCGACCGCTGATCTAGGCTGTTGGAGAATATTGCTTTGACTTTACATTTTTATTAATATACTAAATTTTGATATATTGGTCAAGTGATGCTGCCGACTGATTTTAAGTAATACAATATTCTTGTGGCAGTCTTTTTGTTCTGAATTATTTTAAAGTATTTTTTCAAAAACATCTAGCGATACGTCGCAAGGTCAGAATGGCAGGAAAGGAGTAATACAATAGACGTTGCATCTTGTGACAGAGTAAACAACCACTTATCAGTAGTAGTTAGAGTTTTCCAGGCATTTTCAGATGTATAACACTTAGACTTCCGCGAGAAGGACCAATTTCCCACCTCGCGGAAGCACTTCCTTGACAGATCGCCCAAGTGTTGCGTGCTATATTCGAACAACATTATCCTATACGATTGTAAGCGTTAACTTTATTTTATTATTTTATTTTTTTGAAAAAGTACAATAGAAGTAATTTTTCAACACGAAAGAAATACTGTAATTATAATATGACAAATACAATGATATATCTTTTTATTGTGTAAAATATAAAAAATTATAAATTAAATGACTTTATATAAAATACAAATACGAAATCCCTTTCATTAATACGACCTGTGTAAAAATCTATTAAATTACGTTAATTTCTCGAGTAGCCACTCCTAAAGCAAACAGAACGTAGATCAATTATTTTATAATTTCGTTTTTATAACACTCTCCTTTAAGAAATATTCATCTTTAGCAATTTCGCAAAGTTGTTTCATTGATGTTCGTCCCGTTTTCATAACCAGGTTATAGAAAATACCCCTGACGTTATTCAGCAGTACATGCGGCTTGTCAAATTCTTGAATTTCTCCAGCATCTAAAACCTGTCAAATTAAAATGTACTATTATAATGAAGTATGATATCATCATTATATATATATATTATCTACAAAATATCTTACCAGCACTCTATCTGAATCAATAATGGTGTTCAGTCGATGAGCTATTGTCAATACTGTACACAATTCGAATTTTTCCCGAATGATTTTCTGTATTAAAGAATCCGTGCTGAAAATAAAAATATTTATAATTTAAGAATGTGAATAAAGAAAACGTGCCACAATTATTGCAAATGAACTAATTATATAATCAATTTTCCAGTTAATGTAAATTTACATATGTTTGCATTATATAAATTTCTATATAATGTAATGACAGACATTCAGACGTCTTAATTTCTACGATATTGTTATTATATAAACTGATATTTCCATCGAAGTTTTAGAGTTTATAGACTTCATGAATTACGTAATGTAGGTGAATGGATATTCAAGTAAGCGTTACAAAGTGAAGTGTTGTGAAAAGCATTATAGAATTTTTGATGACTTTTTTGTAATTATAGCAGAATAAGGGATATATTATAGCAGTTTTGAATAATTCATAACTGTTAACTTATCATGAAACACGATAAGTTATTACATATGCGACATGTTGTAAATATTGCGTTTTGTCGTAATTGCATCAGACTTGAAATATTAAATATAATTCATATTTCATATAATTTACACTTTATACATAATAAAGTACTGCACAATAACTTCATAATGATATTATATTTTATTAACTATACTTTTGAACATGTAACTTTTACTTATCTCACCAGCATCAACAAATGAATCGTTTTCTTGAATTGTTTTCTTAATAAATTAAATTTTTTATTTATTATTTTNAATACAAGTTTCTGTAAGGTTAAAAATATTGTATTGTCTAATAAAGAATGTAAAAAATAAAACTTAATTTGCAATTAGTTGTTTTTGATTATTTTATTATTATAGAAATTTACAAAACTGCTTTATTGAAATGAAAAACATATAAAAGTTACTTCTTGATGTCTAAATTAAAACACTCTCAACATTAAAATCTTTGATGTCACGTAATTTAGTTTAATTGAAAATTTTGCAATAATTTTAACGTTAATGTCAATACACACAAGAGCTAGTGAAATTATAAATAAGTGCCTTTTATCGAGTTTCAGATGAAATGTCTATAATTATAACGTCTGCCCGCTCTCAAAACTCTTACAAAGTTTAGGACAATTGATCAACATTTCCAACAAGTTGACGTCATTCAGCTGACACATCAGTGCGTTGTGCCATCTAGATATTTAGTCGCACGTATGTAGAATGTACGTACAGTCGACCCCCCTATAATGTGGGTTCCTATAACGGAAATTCCTATAACGTAGCGAAAAAATTGCGGCAGTATTCGTATAAAGGGACTCGAAAAACGTCGTCGCCGACTCGTGTCGCGACAAGATTGGTCGAATCTGGACCAATAGTGAATGAGCAGCCGAACTACTTTCTGCCGTCCAGCGCCACGCTACGGAAAGTTTAGGCGGGTAAATTGAGTTTGCTATCGTCTGTACAGTATTATATATAAATTAGGTACTGTATATATAATTATATATTAACTTAATTTATTGTAACTTTATTATAATAATATATATAGATTATAATATATAATAACTTTCCATTATATATAATATATACTTTCCGCCGTCCAGCGCCACGCTACGGAGAGTTTAGGCGAGTAAGTTGAGTTTACTATCGTCTGTACAGTATGTAAATTAGGTACCGTAAGTCTAATACAGCAGTAATTTTATACATTTCTTGTGAAAGAAACATTTCTTATTCAACGGCCATAAAAATTATTTCTATCAATGATGTCTCCAAAGTTGAACGAAGTGTTCGCAGAAAGATAACTTATCAGAAAACGCGGCCGCCGTTTGGTAAGTTGCTCCGCAACGAAAACAAGCGTAAGCAACGGCGTAATCGAACGGTGCACACTCGGTAAGTAATCCTACAATTTTTTGTTTATAGCATAGTTTATACGGATTATTCCCAAAAAATTATACGTGTTTTGGAAATGTTGAGTCGAATTAGTCTAGAATCAGTTAATTTTATAGAAGAAAACCTTTCAAACAGCCTTAGTCCGTAAACTTCACACGTGTCGGGCTGCGATTGGCTTATGTATTTAAGGACTCCTACAACGTAAAATTCTTATAAAGTGGAACGTATCTAAGCTTTATGGGGGTCTACTATACACGTAAAAACGTACGTAAAATGGCAGCACTGTCGATAAAAATGTTGGCTGAATAAAGAACCGTTAGAAAATTTACTAAAATTAAAATTAACATAATTTACGATAATTGTAATAAACTAATACAGTAATACGTCCACTTACGCGAACCCGGAGTTACACGATTTTCAAATCTCGTCGATTCGTCTTTTGTTTGAGCAACTGTTGATTACTCACTCCCCCCCACACTATTGTTCAGCTTACATGTTCGGACGTGACGCGACACATAGCTACAATTTATTTTGTGTTACTTATTTCTGTGTTTGTTATATCTACGGAGACTTGAGAGACTCTATGTGGTGATTTCTTGTAACCGTGAACGAATGAAAAGATGAGATAAGATTAACGAGAACATTTATTAGCTTACATATATCCGATTTGGATTTTACACAAATTGCGAAATTATACCCCGACTTACGTGAATTCGACTACGCGGTTATCGCTCGGTCCCACCTATCGCGTAAGTTCGGGGCTTTACTGTACTTTAATTAATATAACATAGAATTAATAGTATACTATCAATTAATACATTAACCAGACTTACAATTTAATTACATTAGATAAAATTGCAATGAATTTACAGATTAATTGCAATTTTATTAACAGATTATTAACGTAAACAATAAAATACGAATTTAAAAAAATAATACATAATATAAGCAGATAAATAATATACCAAACAAAAGTACGCATACTTCCGTATTAGAATTATTGGTTTTCATATTTTTAATACAAACATTTGATTTTATACGAATTTTTTTCATTATATAAGTACATATCCCTCAATGATCTTGGAATTGGCCTGATAATACCTACTCCTGGAAGTTTCGGCATTCCGGGAGTAGTAGAGGGATGCTGGAATTTCATTTGTAAGATTTAAAGGTTTGCGTGTTTTATGACATATTTTATTCCAGTTTTGCAGTGTTTGAACAATCTTTGTATTTTATACAAGTTTGTTAGGAGGTTATGGAAAAAATATATTTTGCATTCAATTATTTTGGACATTTTTCGAAAAAAATCTATTGTTTTGATAATTCCAAAGTCGATTAAATACACGTCTGCGTATTAACGATAGAATAGAGTACACCTAGCTTTAGCCATTGATAAGGCTAACGGGTNTTCTCACCTGTTACTTTTTGTAAGAGACATGTTAAAAGAATTAAAAGAAGATCTGATTGACTCCAAGCAATGATTTAATGTATAATTGTATAACAGTTTATTATAGATAAAAGAAAATATATGACAAAATGATATAAAAAAGATAATAAACTTTCCAACAGATTCAGTTAGATCAATTTAAAATTCTGCAGCATATGGAAACATGTCGAGTTTCCATCAGATAGGACTGGGTCGAGTCCTGTTGAGATCCCATTTGTTGATTCTTTCAATCAAACCTCGATATAGCTTACTCATAAATGGCATCCTGTTCTGATAAAGCACCAATGAATGCTCGCGAATAGAGTTTACGTCTCTAAATATTAGAGAATCTCTCGGTATCTGTACAGTACTAAGTGTTTTTGCATTACCAACGACACTAAAGGCATTTTATGGAAGTTTGACCAAAATATTACACTAAATCGCGTGTAGAGCTAAGCGAAATATCACAAACAATAAGAATTATANAAGTTTTAATATATTTAATTCTGGTATTGCTAAATTTCAACGTATCCACTACAATTAAGGACATAAAAATGATAGGATTGTGAAGTTCCTGAACGATATTTGTTTAGATTAATGATATCTCTCTTAACTCGTTGTCTCCATTAATCGTTTTTTTGCGTGAAACACTGCGCCTCATACTATACTATTTACCAATGTTTTCGTTCTTCCTAGGTTTAATAACCATACATTAAGTCGGTGAAAAATGATCACATCATACAATGTTAATGATAATGGACCTCAAATACCTACAGCATACAACGGTTTGTACCTTAAACATTTATGAAAATGTGAGAAACCGGGCGAGGGGACGGAGCCTTCTAATCGTCGAGTTGGTAAAACTCGCCCACTTTGTCTTTGGGATGGCTTTTTTCGAGTGGCGAGGGGGTTGGGAAAGTCGACAGGTGTCCGTGTTTTGGAGTGACAGGAGACAGGTTTTTAACAGACAAGAATTTATTCTATAACAAAACCTATGATACATAAAACTAAGCCTAAATTAGATGCGGTTAAATGAGGTTACATATACACTCCTATGGAGGGGATTGACAAAAAGTTTCTAATCAGCTCGCATGCTGATCTAATGACCTAACTCTATCGCTACTTCCACTGAGAGAGAATTTACAATAATCTATAGATACCTCAATCTTCGTTGATCAGAGTAGATGACGTTCGTTCGATCGGAGAGAGGAATTCGAAGAGGACTGGCGATTGTATGGCGGGTCTTCATATCGTTGACTTGCATGGGCCGAGACAGTCCGTTTGTGGAGGTCCGCTGAACTAGGCACCTAGTCGTAGATTACTCCAGGCATTAATTAATCTATTCACCTTTCTTTGTATGAGACGACCGCCCGGGACTTCGGTGTTTCCACCTTTTATGCTTGATGCCTGGGAAAATGATCATGTGATCGACTATTGACATGTCGAAGGTTCATTCCCAGGTGCGGGCATAGGTTTCTTCCGATGACGTTTAATAGCAGCTGTCACTCTTTCACATTCGAATCTTTTTCCATCTTGTTGTCAAAATTCCTCTCCGATTGTTTAGAGAGAACGTCATCTGATCCGTTCTAGACGATGTTTTCTTTTTTTTTATAACAATCGCGTTACCCGTATAACAATTCTTCTCTTACACCCGTAGATAGGCCCGCGGGCTCACAAAAATAATTTTACTAGTTTCCATGTATATCTTATATTATTCAAACAAATTTCAAAGAGAGGTTTTAATTTTGAAGAGAAACCAAATTCGGCTATAATATTGTACAGGGAATGCAAACTTGTCATATGCTTTATGCAAGTATGAATGTATATTTGGTACTTATTCTTTGTATTTACATTTTTTTCAAAATTCTTTTCGATGTATGAATTTTTATGTTTGAATGATATACTTTCTTTTCAAAATCCATATTGATAAACATGTTTATCAATGTGAATTTGTGAAAAGAACAAGTTTACTTAGTACTTCGTACTGTGTCATACTTAGTGTTAGATTGTTAAATTAATGTGTTTCCCCTGTTACACTGATTTTGTGCTGTTTTATTTATGAAAAGGGCAAAAATTCACCTAATACTAACTATTCTTTATACATTCTCTTTCCAAATCATTTCGATTAATATTAATATGTTATTTTTAATTAAATTCGACCATAATTAACTCCTTCAACATCGATTTTAACTTTTAATTTCAATTAAAATAGCGGACGGCAAATTCGCAAAATAGTAAAATATACAAGAAACTAAATTCCCTTTATTTCCACCATGTCCAATCACCAGGAACAAAACAATTTTCGTTCGCAGAGACGATCTTTTATTAGAGGATATGCCTGTGCAAAATTATGTAAAAGTTTTACAAATCAGTGAACCAGATTTATCCATTACACTAGTGTGCATTAATGTATTTTTTTCATGTTATTTTCGAAACCGTGTTTTTTGAATACATTGGACTTCGTGCGACATGATCATGTACTTGGACATTGGACACTCGTGCGACTTGATCATGTACTTGTTGTTTAGATTGAACATGCTTTCGTTTGGTACCAGTACAAACTCCTTTCTTGGGACTGACCTTTTTTACTTCTCTTCTGGCATCTTTACGAACAACCTGCTTATAGTGTGAGGACCCAACCGGGGTCCGAAAGGTGGTCATTAACGACTTTTTAAATGAGTCAAGTTTCATAGCACGACAGAGCGAACTTAAAGATCGGATTTAAACAAGGAACCGTTTGTCTTTTTAAAAAATTTTAAACAATAGATAAAGTCGATGATAACGAGATTGGAGAGTAGTCGTGTTCCGACGCGATGTTGACCACTCCCGCGCCCTTAGTTGGGTTTCGAATTGTCACCATGTGACGAGGAGAGACCAATGGAGAGGCGACGGAGGTGGAAAAATCGATAAAAACGCGTTTTCGGTTATTTTACGGGATCTTGAGTTTTGGTGCGTAGTGCTCACCTGCTGTGATTTGGTGCTCACGATACAGACACAACGAAGGCTCTTTCGACGCCCTAGGAACTGGTTTCGCCAACCCGTCACTTCCAGAATCGCCGAGGATCCGTCCAGAATCGTCGAGGTTAGACTCGTCCACCGAGGACATCTCTACATGTGTAGGTGCGTGCCCCGAGGCCATCGTTCTCTACTTCCAGCGTGCTGACAATACCCAAAGACCAATCGAACAGTCGCACTTTTCCGTTTTTATTAGAAATGTTATAGTAGCCCATCGTTGGATAGGCTTTCGCCTGACTTATTGTAAGAACAATTTAAGTATATTATTAAACGGGTTCATATGGTAAACCTGTCTCGGTGAGTCATTCCGCGCCCACACAACAGTATTGACTGCTCGGCTGTCAAAAAAACCTCACCCCTAATCGGCTGACCTCACAATAAAATGGGTATTTGTGAAAAACGCTTGGGACAGCATTTTGAATCAATATTCTCTTTTTCAATCCTGGTTTATAATCTGATTCCAGAAAGTGCTTACTGCAGACAACTGAAAAGTCAGTTGTCAACTGTTTTCATCTGTAAATTTAAAAAGAGTTAGCTTATACAGTAAATCTATTAGTTATACTATCTATAAAAAATTTGTAAGCATAAATAGATAAATTGTACAAAAGTTTAAAAAATATAGCCTACAAAAGTTTCAAAATATAGCCTAATCTCATTGCAATTAGGGGTCGTGCAAAAACCGTACTTGTCCTCATTAAGGGGGGTTATATGTATTTAATTTTTTGTATTTTAAAAGCTGAAATTAAGTGCTTTTCAAATACACCCATGTAGTTTTTAGCAATGTCTTTCTACTGTTTTTGAAATATCCGAGAAATTCGATAAATTTTCGGGGGTTAAAATTTTCCATATGCCTTTTTAGGGGGTTTTTATAAGAGCCACAAAAGATCACAATGGGAATGGGAAGGTAAGATTTGGGAAATATGGGGATACGTAGCTTTTGCACGAACCCTTACAGCACATAAAATAATTGCAAAAGTAGCATCAATGAATGTATCATAGGTGTTATAATTTTTCCTACGTTGTTTAATTATGGAGCATTAAATAAATCTTACCTTTTCTGCTGACAGCTTTTATCCATTTTATACGTAAATTCTCTTCCACGGGATATTTGTGAAAACTTGTTCCATCTTTTTTCGATTTGTTTGATGTACAAAATGGCACAGAACAACAAACCATTTTAAATCAAACTTTTTAAAAATTTACCAGTATCTTCATATAAAATATTTTCGAAATTTTAGTTTTTTTTTTAAATCTATCATAAGCACGTCTTTGCAACAGAATTGCCGTTGATCACTTGATCGAATAGTCCAGTCATCAGCGCTCCTAGTGAGGACTATGTGCAAATCGCCTCAGGAAACGACACACGTACTCAGAGCAAATGGCTAGGCTGTTCTTATTGTAGGCTGTGCGCACACGCACTTCTGGGGAATTTCGACAGCAAGCATCTTTCGAATTTCAATGTAGGCGACGTTGTTAGCCATACATTTAAATAAGATTTACAGTCGACCCCCCTATAACACGGTAGATACGTTCCGTTCTTTATGAATCCATTTTGCCAATCACAGCCCGACACGTGTGAAGTTTACGGACTACGGCTGTTTGAAAGGTTTTCTTCCATAAAATTAATCGATTCCTAGACTAATTCGACTCATTTCCAAAATACGTATACAGGTATACCTCGCCTTATGTCGGTAATTGGTTCCAGGAGAACGTCGTAAGTCGAAAAACGACGTAAGTCGAATTTACTTGTCTCCGAATCTACTTATCACTACGCTAAACCGTAAATTACCATTCCCGGTTCTGTATTTTATTTATTAATGCATTTTTAATAATATATGGTTAATAAAAATCTATTTTAAGCTTACAAACAAATAAATTTTAGTTTTTAATATAGTACGGAAAAAAAGTAATCTAAATTTACGAATGCATGTACTGTAAATACAGTACATACTTGTATATATTTTAATATGATTTTATGTGCTTTAAACGTTTTTCTAGTGATATTACGACTNGCTGAACTGAACTAGGCAGACATCCATAGCAAGGGGAAAACCCGTTTTACTTCAGTTAAAAGGTTGTCCGTATTTAATCAGCAAATTTGTTTTTTTCAAAATTCGCAAGTTTTGAATGCTAAGTGAACTTAATTATTTCTAAAATATAAATCGTGTAGTTGTAGGTTCACTGGTGGATGCATTCCGTTCCAGAGACTTAGGGGTACATATTAATCTGTGAGATGTTCACATTTTTTAAATTTTGGTCTCGACAGACATAAGTTAATTCAAGATGGTGATGCATGAAATACGGACCCCATTGGTGCTTTTACAGTAATATGGAACTCAACTCCTCCGAACTCTCTCTTTGCAAGCAGACATTCGTCCGGAGCAATTTGTGAAAAAGACACTAGGTAGAAAGTCAATTCTTCCCGAGAATATTGAAAAAGAGCTGCTGGAATATATATTGTTGATGGATGTCATATTTTTCTATTATAAAAGCATTTTTGCGATAAAATACATTGGCGTGAATAATTTTGTAATTATTTAACATTTTTTGTACTTTCCTATTTGTTATTGGCTACATTAAAGCATTTTTTAAAATATACAGTAAGGTTCCATATTACCACTCGATTTTCTCTAAGCCTACTTTCCGACTTTTTGTACAAAAGCCTTCAAAAACTATACTTATAGTTACACTAGCGAAAAATCCAATTAGGAATATTTAGTTTAATAGTTACCAGTACTTTTCGCACAAAAAATGTGGGTGTAGTTATGATACCTTGTTTACAATTCACTAAAATGAAAATGGGGTTCCATAATACAACTTCTCCTCTATTAATAGTAAAATCTAAAATTTTAGTATAATTCTTATAATTGCTTAGATACAACTTTTTGATTTAAAAAATATTCCAACCTTTTCAATACTAATCAATTGTGAAATCTCATTAATACTAACAGAAAAAGATGGAATTTTTAGAGAACATTAAAAGAGAAAGACGAAAAAATCGGGAACGGAAACAAATGAGAAAAAACAATGAAACATCACAACAGCGTGAGAAAGATTATGTAAAAACAGGGAGCGAAATCAATTAAGACGTCAGAGAAAAGGAAGAACAGAACAATTAGATAAATGTTACAAAGAGAAAATGAGCAAAAAATGCATTATGAAAGAGCAGATGAACAAGGAACGAATGAACAAAGAGATGGAGCAAATGAAATAAGAGAGAGGGAGAATGAACAAAAAGACAGAATGAATGAACAAAGAGCGCGTGCGAATGAACAAAGAGAGAGAGGATGAATGAACAGAGAGCGAATGAAGAAAGACATGGAAACAATGCACAAAGATCGAGGGAACAAGGAAGGCGAAATTTTGAATCTTACTTATTTATTGAAAACTTAAATAGTGTGTATCTTTAATTCCTTC